ATAAATAAGATTCTGGCGATTATGTAAGTCTGAAATTATTTATATATACAAGTTGATCTATATGTTTCCCGTAAGCTCTTTTAGTATCATATTTTGCTAATGAGTCTTTGCATGTTTTGATAAATGCCATTTGTTCCGTTTCAGATATCAGAGATAAATATGAGTGGTGGTTTAGCGCCGAGCAAAATTAACCATTTTTAATTTTATATGGGGCTGTGGGGTAACCCACTTGAGTGAGAAGTTGGACTAATATATTTCATGATGAACTCAAGTTAGAATACATAATCTATTATAGGCCATAGAAATGTCATTATTCTATGATAGACGTAAGATGCCTCATGTCAAGGGGAAAGTTGAGCAATTTGCATTTTAAATAAAATGTGAACATAAATTAGTTCTGCAAAATGTAATAATTTCCCTTTTTTGCATATTATTAACAGTTTATTAAATACTTTTATAAAGTACCCATGAGATGATGTATTCAGTCAAATTGTGTGTGTATAAAAACCTTAATTTAAAAACTGCATGTTGTGTTTACTTGTGTTATCTTTGACTAATATTTAAATTTGTTTGATGATCTGAAACATTAAAGTGTGACAAACATGCAAAAAAATAAGAAATCAGGAAGGGGGCCAACACTTTTTCACACCACTGTGTGTGTGTATATAGGCCTATGTATTTGACTTCTTACACTGAAGCATCTGACATTCTTCACACTTGATGGACCCTCTCTAAATATATGGTCACATGACAAAAATAGTGTGAATCCCTTAGAATAAGGGAGCAACACATCTTACAGGTACTTCCCCTATATACATTCCTTTACTACAGGATTTTTGAAGTAAATTTACAAATATTGTTAACTTGTGTGTATATATATTTCTTGCAATTTCCCCACAGTTATGCTCGAAATATGGCAAGGTAGTGAAGTAAGTATCCTTTATTTTTGGGCTGCAAATGATAGATTCTGTTATACTTCTATAATAGTAAATGGGGAAGTCGTGGCCTAATGGTTAGAGAGTTGGACTCGTAACCATGTCACGTCACTTCACTTCACTTAATATAGCTTGATCATAGTCACAATATCATTTTCTGAAGGGTGACTGTTGTCAAAGACAAGCAGACACGGATGAGTAAGGGAGTTGCATTTGTGCTGTTTCTAGATAGAGAGTCTGCTCATAATTGTGCCCGATCGCTAAACATAACATTAAGTTAACAAAAAGTACACATGAAGCCAAAGTGTTTGATTGCTTTTGAACTCTTTCAGTTGTTTGGGAGAACGGTGAAGGCCAGTATCGCCATCGACAATGGGAGAGCTGCAGAATTCATCAGAAGGAGAAACTACACAGACAAATCCAAGTGTAATATGGTAAGTTTTCAGTGATAATATGTTGAAATGTGTTGGTGGTCATGTATTGAATCTTTTACACTGTGATATTGTTAATACGTAGATTATATTGCTAATACTTATTTGAGGTCATGAGATGATGTCATGTTATTTGTCTCCGCCAGGGGGAAGGGCACTTGAGTTACGCTTGTCCTAAAAATTTACTTGGAGAGAGTAAATAAAGAAAAGAAAAAGAAGAAAAAGGTCCAGCAGCCTGAGGAGCCGTAAGCAGTTCTTAATAGCATTAATAATTCAAACTCTGTACTTACTTAAAGGGGTCCTATTATGCTCTTTTACAAAGTCTTGATGTTGTTTTGGGGGTGTACTAGAACAGGCTCTCATACTAGGTTGTTCGAAAAACACATTATTTTTCACATATTTTACATTATTACAACACCTCTCTCCCCAGTCTGGCATGAGCGGCTTAAATAGTTCCTGTATCAAATGAAGGCCTGCCTTCTGAAATATACGAACTGTGCTGTGATTGGTTAGCTGGGCCAGTGTGTGCTGTGATTGGTTAGCTGGGCCAGTGTGTGCTGTAATGTCATGCACTCGGCGCCTGGTCAGGAAATGTCATGC